GAGGAGTCGGGACGATCCGGACGATCCGTGTCCAATCTCCGATGAGCCTCCGAGCCCGTCAGTTGCTGGTGTTTCGGGACTCGTCCGAGGATGAGCGTGGCGCGTGGCGCGTCTCGACATCGGTTCACACGAAAGTGATAGACGCTCCATGCGCGCATGAGTGGATCTATTTTCAGGAGCGTCCATATCGAACTTTCGATGGTGAAAGTTGAAAAAATAGTCCAAGTGAATGGGAATTTCGGTCTACAGCCCTGGATAGACGATCAAATTCTGAACCAATTCCGATCGAAGTAGACATGCTGATGACTGATTTTCACCATCTACCATCAAATTTTGACGGGCCGCACTATTTTGTTCAAAGTAAGATGAGAATGGAGTGGGGAGTGCCACCATTCATCATTTCCAGCCTCAGGAAAAATTTTTGCTAAGTTTTCATTTTAAAATTAAGCAAATTGATGAGTTTACGACTGATGACTCCTGACACTTTGATGGTAATTGGTTCGGGAATTTGATCGTCTATCGAGGCCTTACGCAAATGGACCACTGGACAAGGTACGAATATAAGCATTCTGACTCATGATTCATGAGAAGAATTTCACGTTGAACACGATTCTTGCACTGAGATTACCGAATAGCCAGGGAAGGAATGTTCCTTCGCGAAAAGTAAAAGTCGTATAAAACCCGAGTCGGGTCGTTTTGGAACTGCGGGACTCAAGAGGGGGTGGCTATTTTTTAAGTGATTTCTGTGTACTTTTTGACGCTGAATCCAAATATGAACTTCGCGCCTGGAATGATGTGCCGGAAAGTTGCCAAGTGTGGCAAACGGTCCTAAATCGGCTTTTTTTGCCATAGCTTCGGTTCGTAGCTTTTCAATATTGGCCTGACGATAAAATTAGTTACTTACCGCAAAAAAAGTTTTAAGGTATTTTTTTGCCAAATTTGGCAACTTTCCGGCACAAAAATTTTGGCGCAAACTTTATACTCGGATCAAGCGTGAAAAAATACATGGAAGTCGCGAAGAAGATATTTGAAAAAGCCACCTACAATTTTTTGCAGACCATAGGCTCGTTTTATGAGCCATTCGCCAAGAAACACGTCCTCAGCGAGGCTGAAAAGAAACTGACCGAATTGGAAACCTTCATTAGGAACAAAGAACGTACCTGCAAACAAACTCGACTTAAAAACTTTTAAAGAGTTCTTTTTTGTATTGAAACATCTGCATAAAAGTCAGTTTCTGCTGGCATACAAGTTAAAGCAATTTTGAGGAGCTCCGTAAAAAATCGCCGCAAAATTTTTAGGCATCATACACAGCTGAAGGAGAATTATTTTGAAAGAGCAATGAAATTTCACAAGGAAGCTAAGAACACATCAGAATGGTTATACGCATTTTTGCTGAAAGGAACTATGTTACACGCAATCCCTAGGCACATAGTTCCTTTCAGCATAAATATGTTCGGTTGTCCTTCAGAAGAGTAAAACCAATCACGGAATCGGGAACGTCGCAATTGGAGATACGTGTTTTTTAACTCCCACGGCATTTCCTATTTCGTAGAAAAAACAACTTCGTCACTACGCCACCGCCTCAACGAGCGACGCAGGACCCACAACGGCGGAACAGAATGGACCCGTTATTCCTGCCTGGTGATAGAATGACTAGCTGTGTACAAAAACATCGTGCATCTACTTTTAAAGGAGTTGCGGACTTGGTAAAAAAAAACATACCCATTAGGGCTAATTGGAAAGTAGACAAATAGTGTTTCAGGATCAACCTATATTAAAATACGATGGATACGTATCTGGACGGATTTCTAATTATTTTCAACGACACCTTTACAAGATTTGGTCGAGTCAAGTAAGGAGGAACTGACTCACGTCTTCAAAAAATTGTTTTCGTCACTCACTCGATTTCAATTTTTTTTAAAAACATATTATAAAAGTTTTTCAAGGGGGACTCAAAAATTAACACCTAGTTGCAGGCCTGCCACGTCCCATCTCGGGCCCTGTTACCAATTTTAAGGTTCGGACCCCATGAATGAACCCCTCCCCGCTCCCTTAACACTATAAAAATAATTTGTAATGCAATGAAAATCAATAAGGTTAGAATGAAGATAAAGTAAATAAATGCTCATTAATACTAAACAGAGGAGTTTATACACATTCAAAAAATAATTATGTACTAAAAATCTTGAAAATAGATCAAAATCTTCAAAGAAATAAGAAGAATTTTACAGTGCCCCAGCGTGTGTTTGAAAATGTATTCACCGTTTGCGAGATTTTTAGGGTAAATTTTTCACTTTTCCTTACGAGACTGGGGTTACATGTGACGGGCCCCGGTACCAGGGACCCAGTATCCCCGCCCTTGTGGCGGGCCTGCCTAGTTGACACTGAATTTTTCATCGAGTCGTGGACGAGTAATAAAACTTTAAACCCCTTTGTCTCAAAATTAAAGAAAGTTGGCTTCTTCTTATCTGTGTTACACGATTCAATTTTGGCCATTTTCCGACTCGAAGCCACTTGCAGGATTGACAAGTCGGAAGGGACGGCTTTGTCCTTTTCGAGAAAGATTGACAGTGAGCTACTTTGAGCTACCTACTTACTCTAACAGAAGAAGTTGGAGCACATAAAACATAAAGAAGTCAACTCGTGCTGCTACTTAAAGAATTGTCGATGAGCATCAAGCTCGTAGTAACTGGTCGAGCACTTTCTCTTCTCATAAATTGAAGACCTCAAATACTATCCAGGATATAAAACCATCTTGAAATCTTTCCTAACATTCAGTGACGAAAGGTTAATCCTCCGTATAGAATCGGGCGATGGTTGGTTCTTCTCATACATAGTACAAGTGTGGTTTTTGCGGGACAGTTCTGTTAAATTTATTAACATCTCAACCACGCGAATACAGAAAAAATTAACTTTTTACACTGAAATTTTGTTCTTTTCAAAAATATCAAACCTTTCATAGTTTAAATATCGAGAAACATAATTAGAATTTGGCGCTTAAAAATTCATGTATGATCAATTGATAACATTTCTTCGATGAACAAAAAACACCAATACTCAAAAGAGAAGGTGCAAGGAGACTTCAATTAAATTTTTTTATTTTCAAAATTTTACTTCGGTATGATAACCAATATTTCCTGACGTTTTCGATCATCGCTCAATCAATAATATATATTGGGTCAGATATGCACAAATAGTGCTCTCACTGGTTACCCTGCGTCTGTCATATGTCACTGATAAAAATCAAAGAGGAAGAAACTAGAGAAAAAAGAAGACTCAATTTGAACCCTGTTCACCTCTCGAAGAGAAATATCTCACTTCTCTCCTTTTCCTTATTTTATCCGGATAAGTTTGGACAAGATCAAACTGGAGAGATGTATCTGAATCATGAGTTTCGGAAAAAAGAATCTGATTAAATTATAGGTTCGATTTAAAGGTTCAGCTTCTAATGCTGGGCGTGGATGAATTTTATGCTCAAACGTTGCCACTTTTAGCGGATGAATTTTCTCTCCTTCAATTTCGGTCGCACTGGTGTTTTATTTGCGACCATAAAAGAAGTTACCACAGAAGAATAAATTATTTGCCGGAGAGGTACGGAACTTGCGAAGATGTTAAAAAGTCTAGAGTAATTTCAAAATACCTCAAACAGCGCTGACCTCGTAGAATGAACAGGCACGACCCCCCCCCCTCCAATCCCACTGTGCCCCTTATGGATGCAAACCGATGGCAAGCTATTCCACATTAATTTTATTTACTTATTTTTTTTTTTTAAATGTCATTATGTAGATAAGCTTCTTTTCTTCGGTGGTATTTGATACTGCACATTGGTTTTGAATGGCTGTGGCTGGCACACTATTAAAACGACTTTGCTTTTACTAATCCGATTGACCCTCGAAAATATTAATCGGAGAACATTCTGTGGCAATTTACTGTAATGATTCATTTTTCTAGAAATGAAATCAGAACTTCAATGGCATTTTTTGGATGCATTATTGTGGTAATTGTTGTCGTTTGTTGGCATTTGGATCTAGTTTCGCAGAGAAGGACCAGCTTACATGAAGCTTAACACGAGAGAAAGAGAGGTTTGAAGAATCATTCCTCCGGAAAATTCAATATGGAAAAAAAAAAGTTAATTTTTATCCATACTTCCTAAAATCATAAATATCCCTCCTCAATTAAAAATCTTGAGAGGAAAAATTTACGACAGTTCGAGCTCAGAAAATCAGTTTATCTCTCAAAACATGTGCTCCTTCCGAATCATTTTTCCTCTACGTGCACTTGAGTACTTCATCGAAGTTAGCAGGCTTTTAATGTGAGACAAGCGTAGACATGTTTAAGTTCGAATTTTTCACACCACAGTTACTTTACTTTCACTGTAGATTTTTACTCAAGAACGTAATCATTTTTATTTTAATAATATGGTTATCACTTTTATGCAGATGCACAATCAAATCGATTCTCCCTGAACTGACATAGGTCCATTAGAACGTTTTAAAATTGCCACACGCAATCCACACGAACAAACAAAAAATCTCCGCAATAGTGAAAACGTGCCAATGATCTTTTATGCAAAAAATCTATGAATTAGCGTCATTATCATTTTGATACCTGCCGTCCATCAAAGTACATTTATTCCTTGGATAGACACATCGAAATAGTACTTAGAGAGAAAATTGGTCTAGAAAGTTGACATGACTAAGTTTTAAAATGAGGTATACCGTACATAATAGGTGCATACCTTCAATATACTATATTAAAGGTACAGGAAGGATAGAAAGAGGCAATACGGATATTTTCTTGGGTCAAAATTTGCCTCGCAAATTACTTTCTTTCTACTCTAGGAATATCTTTCAACTTTGGATTTTTCTTTGAAAAAGTACTGGGTAAACTTTTTCACAAAGCTCCGGAAGTAGATGTTAAAGGTTCCCTCGCAACATCCGTCTCCACGCCTCGATCTGAAAGATCCAAGCGCGTCCCAAATAGCGAAAACAAAGACTCACCGATGCGGAAAGTTCTGAAAGTCCGAAGAAAGTTCCAAAACGCAAATCCAAAATGGGGGACGAATATATGAAAACAAATAAAAATCCAATAGCCACTGAGAGGTTAACGAGGAGGAGAGCGGTCACTGTGGTGCGAGCAAAAAAATGCCGAGAATGGAACGACACACAGAACAAAGTTACACGGATAACACTATCATGTGTGGAGCGAGACAACCAACACAGTCGCAACCGAACGCGGATCGCGGCGCGAGCGCGTTGAGGCCAGAAATTCAACTGATAAACTGGTTGCCCGACCAACGCGGAGATGCCTCCGTCCGGGCCCCCGCCCCACCTCATTGGTCGGGCCCCGTCCACGCTGCCAATTTGGGCTGGAGAAATGCCCTCATCTCATCCGCAGTCAAAAGAGGATGAGTGGACCTAGACTGCCATGCTAAGGAAAAACGCCGTATGAGCCTTCAGACGGTGCTAAGTTCCCTTCGATAAAAACCGAATTAATTGGGAAAATTACGAATATTATTTTCCAAAATTTGCAGACAATTTTGTATGCAATTTAATCTAAAATATCTGAAAATTTCAAGGAGAAACATGCCGGAATGTTGTCAAAAATACGTGTTTTGTCAAGGGAAATTTGGCAACTCTCGAATGTTCATACGGCGTTCTTCCTTGGCATGGCAGAATAGGTGTAAATTCTAAATTTTCATTTTGTGTTTGAGCAGCTCAAATAAAGCAGCTCATGCTAAGGAAAAACGCCGTATGAGCCTTTAGACGGTGCTAAGTTCCCTTCGATAAAAACCGAATTTACTGGGAAAATTGTGAATACGTTTATTCCAAAAATTTCAGACAATTTCGTACGCAATTTAATCTAAAATATCTGAAAATTTCAAAGAAAAATATGCATGAATGTCGTCAAGAATACATGTTTAATGAAGGAAACTTGACAACTCTCAAATGTTCATACGGCGTTCTTCCTTAGCATGGCAGTAGAGTGCCTTCACGTGAGAGCATGGATACGTCGAAATATTAGTCTCCAAGGGCTAAAAAGCAGGGATGCCTAAGTAAAATGAAAAATGTGAGAAAATGGGATTTTCCGTGAAATATTTCATGAAATTTCACAAATTTGTGAAAAATACGAAACATATTTTAAGGTGCTGGGTATGCAACACACTCTAGCACCAAAAAGGAAGAAAACTATTTGCTTCCCATCCATTTTAGCATTTAGGTAATTTAAAAAAAAAAAATCAATATATTTTTCTTAAAATTCATTGAAATATATCATGGAAAATTTCAAGAATTTCTTCCTCATGGGAACATGACCTCACACTTCCCTACACTGGTGGCAGTGAAAGCCGTCACTCTCAACTTTTTGAAATCGAGTTTCTTCCAAAATTCGTCAACTGAAACAGCCGGTAAAGCAAAATTCATCTTACTTGTATGAACACGCCTATCAGGAAAGCCTTTAGGGATGCAAAAATTGGCGTTTTTTCAGACATAAAGGTTGTAAAGGGATATTATTCCGCCAGAGTGCCAATGAAAACTGTCCTTTTAAGTAAAATGTATAGAGAATTCGACATTATTTAATCAGAACGTGACCCCTCCAAATGAAAAATGTTGACTGTGGGGAACATTTAGATGCTTCCAACCAGACTAATAGCATTACAAATGGTAGGAATAGCCTTAGGCGTTGATACCACTATTTTAACTCTCTGGAGCGCATGTTGCCTACTCTAACAATTGAAGGCGATTTAGTAGGTTACACTTAGAAGCATTCGACCACCTGACTTGAAGCATTCCATACAGCAGAAATGTATGTAGGCTTTGATACCACTATTTTAACACCCCGCAGCCCATGTTGCCTACTCTTTCAATTGAAGGCGATTTAGTATGTTTCGTAGGCTGCTTGTTTTTTTTAAAAAAGGATAACAAGGTCTTATGATTAGGTTTTTTTTTAAAACCTACTTGGTAGCTACATTTTTCTTGCGATATTCGGCACATGGGTTTTCGATGCTTACAGTACACAAGTGTTCACACTATTGAAAAAAATAGATTCTTCCGCACCGAAATCAATATCGAGCGCAAAACTTCAATTTAATCGGGCTCAACCGCAGGTTTTAGAAAGGATGCTTGGCAACCCTGGACACGAGCACGTCTCGAGTATGCGTCTCTCTCTCTCTTTCTCTTCCCGGACTTTCTCTTTCTCTTCCCGGGTTTTCGTCGCCCTGTCTCTGTTTTTTCCTTCTTTCACTTTTCTCGCGGGGTCCCNGGGGGGGGGGGGGGGGGGGTGTCCGGCCGTGGCACGATGCGACCTGTTCGACGGACGTACTGGAAGCGGAGGTGATGCAAGAGGTGAGTTGGCCGAAATCATCGGTGCGTCGAGATGCGGCCGCGGCCCTCGCACGGTGAGCCGTCGTTCGGAGCCTCCGGACAACCGCGACCTTTCGGCCCAACGAGCGTCGCGACGCCATGCGTCGCACCGACGACGCACGGTGGATCGAGTCAATGTCGGTGTCGGTGTCGGTGTCGGTGTCGGTGGTCGGACAAAATTTGGAAACTTTCAAAGCTTATGACTCTGTTTGTACAAAATTTTGACGTTCCATAAGTGGATTGCATTTTGCAAAAAATGAACCACTAGCATTGTAATGATGCTAAGATTGTGCAACTTCATCCTTTGCAATAAAATTGCGGAAACTGTGAAAAACTATGAAATTTAGATGGTAATTTTTGTCTTAAATTTACAGTTTTTAGCGAGTAAAATAGAAACTATTAAGGGATAATTGGGTTTTTCCTCCAAGACAAAAGAAGTTGCACAATCTTAGCAACATTGCAACGCTAGTGGTTCCTTTTTGCAAAATGCAACCCAAGTGATTTCATTGGTTTCCTCGTAAAATTTTCTTCTTAAACCACCCCTTGAAATTTAAAATGTGACGACAAAAACATCAAAATTTGCAGTTTCAGTAAAAAATTCCAGGTCCGTCTTCTGTAAGTGACTCGATCCACTCTGTGACGCCACGACTTCGACGCGAGAGTCGGACATATTAGACTACTCGGACCCTTCCGCAGTGAGTATATTTTCTGAGCTTGTGGAAAGGTAGACTAGATTTCGTGATTAGGAACTACCTACTATTTCTAGCTCATCCATAAAAAATGGTTTTAAAATAGCTCGAATGAGCTTTCTTCCTCTGTACTGAGATTTTCAGTTTTAAACTAAAATCTTAAGCATGTTGGTCAGAAAATTAGCAACTTTATCTGAATGACTCGTATACGTCAACCATGATCGGTCTATTAAAAATCTAGCGTTTTCCCATCGAAAAACACACTATACTGGATTGTACACATCCTATATTGGTTGAAGCGGGTGGTTTCAATGGACAAAGGAGGTAAAAAATAGACTAACCTCGAGACTAACAGTATCCCATGATAGAGCCGACAAGTAAGTCCATCATTTATCCCTTTTGTCTATGTGAACCACCCATTTCAACCAACAGGATCGCTTCATATGTCTTCTTTGTCTCTGAATTTCAAAAATCAGCTGATAGACTCTTAAAAGATTCGAAAAGGAAAATTAATCTTGATTCAATCTGATTTTGGCTTGAATCAAGAGCCAAGCATCTTAATTTAAGCGGATTTCTTTTTGATTCAAGCAAAAATTCCAGAGCCAAGAATATTTTTTCTTGTCGAATATTTGAAGAGTCTGAACTCAGGGTGCAAGTGATTTTTTTTTTCAAAAGCAAATTTTAAATATACTTTAAACTTCCAATTTCTGAGTCCTGTATTCGAACACGCTTAGTCGAAAGGGGTATTTTACAATTTGAAAAGAAAATCCTATATAAGAAGACTTTTTCCTCACGTAAAGCGTCTATTATATCCTTTTTAAAAAACAAAATACCTTCTTACACTTCCTACCTCCGAGCTCCTTTACTGATACTGATATGTAAGACATCTTCTCCAGCTTTTGCTGAATCATGCTGAAAAATTTTAATCCTAGTTTTATGGATTGAAAGACTGCATGTGAGAATTTTTCATTCTGAATCATTACAAGGTACATCGCACCTCGTTGTACTAAGTTTAGATTTTATCTGTTTGATGTTCTGCCAGTCATTTTGGAGTGCTAAGACTTAAAGTCTCCAGTCTGAAGTGCCACTTGAATGTTAAAGTTGATAAACTGAACGTGTCGTATGCTCCTGTATTTGTTACCATCCGATAGTTCTAATATTGATTAGCCTCATCAATATACGCAGTTGGTAATTGACGCAGTCAGATATTTAAATAAAATCAATTGAATTTAACAATATATATACTCGCACGAACAAGAAAAAGTTTTCTTAACGCGTGTCTCAGCGTGTTGCTCTAAATTTTAGTTGTGATAAACTTGATGAATACGATAGGAAATCGACGTGATAACTGGAAATAAAGACAGAATTTGCGTTTCTTGACTAAGAACGGAGAAACGTTAATATTGTATACAGTGAATTTTATCCAGAGCTGCGCCTGGATAGTTGACACGTTATGGAGTCATACCTTAATCGATTAATTAAGCTAGAAAGTTATCGATCAAGATTGTTCAATAACAATTCAACAATCGACCCAAAAGGGCCTGTTTAAGAAAGTTTCTCCCATAAAGAGGATGATGAATTAAATAGAATTTAGAAATTACATGGATTCGATATAAAGCATAGGCTATCTGCACTGAATGTTGCCTAACTTCCTTTCATATTTTATGTTTTGACAGGAGACTGAACGACATAACACCCTTAACATGGCGTGAATTTCTTAGAAATTATGAAGAATATAGTGGAAATGCAGATGAGAATGTTCTTTGGTTCTTTGTAAAAAGCATAAATAATGAAAGAAAAGCAGGCAATGTCTAAAACTGTTAGGTCAATTCTGGTTAAAACTGTTCAATTATCGTCTGTTGCATGGCGGATGGTAGCTGCTAGTTGAATAAAAATGATTTCCAATATATATTTGCCATGAAAAAATACAGATGTGAGAGCCTTGATACCGAGAAAAAGACCCGAACATGCACATAGAAACAAAAAATAAAATGAGAATTGATAGGGCATAAAAACTTTCGGTCACTTGCGGGCAGAATGCCAAGTGATGCATCACCGACCCGATTCAGATAAAAGGAAACTTCTTCAGATGTTCGACACGGAATGAGTGGGACAGTCAACCGCACTAAACAGCGGCTCCCTAATAGTCTCTTCACGAATCATGAGATGATCATGTCATGAATGGGACACTGCCATCTAGATGCGCCTTC